GACGACAGGAAAGGAGGAGGGGCAGCCCCTGACGTCACACAATAGGGGACCCTTCCCCACTAACCCTTCCATTGTTATATGACAATAACATTGTTATTGACACCACCCCCCGTCTGGCGGCATCCCTTTGGACGCCAGACGGGGGGGGAATCTCTCTGAGGCAGCCGACAAGAATGCTTAGAAAAAATTAAATTCTTGACATGAATTCGAAACGGTAAAATACTGGTCAAAAACTCAACTCCGCAATGATTTTAGCACTCAAAATAACGTAGGTTTTAGTTATAGCCCACTTCTTACCACCAGAACTCGTCATATTTTAGTTAACGTCACTGACGGGATTTAAATCTGCCTTTTAGTCTAGTTTTCGTCTAACATGCGCTAGATTTCATCCGAAATATATATCATTCGCATTTTTCCTTTCTATTACAAATACACGTGTCTCTGTTCTGAAAATTCATATACTATTCCATGGGATCCGCCACTCCTTATAGGAAACAGTCACTTCATCACATTACCATTTCGTTTGCAACAACTCGGCTTTCACTGCAATTACATTCATGCTGCTGAGTCACTGCGCGCCAAACAACTAAACTCACCTCTGATCAGATCCTGATCTGGAAGGCCTTCGTTCTCGAAGAAGTAAACGTGGTTTCACGTTTTATTTTAAAATTCGTTTCCGAATCCTTGTATAGCAATTAGAACTTTATACGATTTTCAAAATAAGTTTTTTTTTAAATAATACTTCTGCATGACAATATTTACGAAATTATGTAAATTACTCCTTCCATCATCATTTGATTTAATTTTCTCGTGAACGAAAATAAAAATATTTTCCTCCTAGTTCTTGTTCACAAATGCAAACGTAGTTCAACGCAGTAACTAGATTATTCCTTTCCAGAAAACTCTCTCTAGCTCTGCCAAGCAATTTTTCGGGCACAGAAGTCTTCTTGTAGGCTCTGCCAGCTATTCCCCGGACCAGAAACAACATATGCTTGCGTAGGTATTTAAAATTGTATCGGGCGTGAAAGCACACAACCCATGCTGCCCTTATGTTGGTCATGTATCAAATAGGAGGCTGCAATTAACTTCTCTTGAGGTCCTAACAGCGTTCAGGTTGTTAGGGTCTTCTAATGTGAATGCGTTCATTGCTGTCTGTGCGCAAATACTACAAAATCACAAGCTGTTCCTTCCTTTGGGATGGATATTCCTTTTATTGAATTATAATGCAATTTTCTGTTACTCCTCAACTTTCAGACGACAATCGGCACCGCCGATGGCTATGAGATGTAAATAGGTCATCGACTCACCTGGCGAAGGTGACATTCGGTACAGCCTTAGTTATAATGAATCTAGAATGTCGAAGAGAAAATGAATAGAAACGATGAATGAATTCATCGTTCCTATTCGTTGTGGTCCACCGTTTCCACTTCCAATAGGCTGACGTGGGATAGTAACAAAAAGTAAAATAAATAAAAGATGAGGAATGGTTATTCATGGCAGTTATTTCCTATCAGCATTTATTCTGTAATTCGAAGGAAATGGGAAGAAAATCACAATTTGATTTTAGTATTTTAAATGAAACTTTGTCCTTCGTTAGCTTATTGCTTGAGTTCGAGGAGCGAAGACCTCGTCAGTGAAAATCATAAGCGAAGCATTGATGAAAAAGTATGTGGTGGGGGGGGGGGGGTCGGAGGAAACTCTGCGATATCATGCATTTCTAGGGTATTTTCCCTTTTTTAAAATTATATTCTTAAGAAGTTGTGGTTTTGGGGGGCCACGTGCTTCCTCTCCCCTGGTCCTCCCGACAATACGCCGCTGATGAAAATAGAAAGAAAAGCAGCGGTATAAACTTGAGTCAGCAGTGTTCGTACCAAGACGCAAAACTTTCTCGAAGTAGACTTTCAAGCGAATAATTTAATTTCTGTTAAAGAAGTTTTAGGGCTGATGAGCAAAGCGCAAAATGATTTTGGAAAGATACTTTCATCATTATCAGGGAAGGAACTGTCCGCTATCTAGAATTATTCATCTTCAGCAGGGGGTCGAACCCACTTCTTGTTTGTATCACAATACAAAATGCATGAAAATCAGTCATATGAGTACTAGTATCTCCAAGTATCTACAAGTATCTCCTAGTGGCGCGCCCGAGGGAGGGGGGGTTATGGCCCCCTAACAAAATGACACAATGACCCCTCCCCCTTCACTTGGGATATGTTTTACAGATTCGATTCTAAAAAAATATTCATTTTTTTACGATAAAAGCAAGGTGGGTTATCATTTTTTCATAAGTCAATCTTCCCATTTTGAATTTTTGGGCACGCTACTGAGTATCCCTCTCATCCGATCTTAGCTTTCGAGCGAGATGCTCTAGGTGTTCCGCTCTCAACCGTCGGCCCTGAATATCATGCAGACTTTGGGTTGTAACACATTGATTTCTATTCCGTCTTCGACCTCGACCACCGGATGTGGAGGAGAAGAACCATATGCAACAATTCATTTTAGACGGTATCCCCTACATGAAATTGCATTAAGTGGGGAAAAGATGAATTCAGACTCGGGAGTTAATTTGTTATACAAGTACTGCATATCTCAATTATGTTTTGTTGCTTTTCGCCAAGCTAACTCGGGTAAAACCCCTCAGAATCCTAACTGTGTCCTAGGAGATAAGTGATATCTGCCGATAAGGAAGTATGCCGAATCCATATTACTACTCTCGTTCGTATAAGGCAGGAGTGTCAAGCTCAAATCGGTTAACGGGTCGCATTCCTTACCCTGCAGATGCCTGCGGACCTCACCTATACTTTTTTCACCGAAATCTGTGCTGACAGTTAATCCAATCGGATATTACAAGAACAGACGGCAGGCCGGATGTACCTCATACGCGGCCGTATGTTTCACACTCATGGTATAAGGCAATTCCACCACCACAAAGAGGAGCCACATAAATGTCCCTCCTCCGAACGTTGTAAGCATGCAAGACTTGATGAGAAATATCCCATGTGAACATGTAAAGTGCGCGAATCTGGATTTTCAACTTCGTAGGATGTACACCTCGGAATATACACGTTCTTTCGCAAAGACACAACGATGGAACTTCCATAAGTTTCGTGTTTCTAGTCGCTCTGATGTCTGGCAGTGAACATTTCGCAATTCGAGGAGCTTCCTAATGTTAGGTTTTGCCAAAAAAATTAGGAAAACTCCAACACGAACCCTGACAATGTTGAAGGAATCGTATTGAAACGATACGCCGTTGACATTGGTTTTGTTCCATAAAATGAGTTGAGATTCTACACTACTTCTGCATTAGCCATTATGTGGAAAGAGACAATCACATCTGGAAATGAAGACTCGCTCTGACTCCTACTTCCTTTTCCTTTTATCTTATTTTCTGCTCGATTACCTCAGCCGGACGGCAGAATGGAGAATCTCGAACGCAAGAAACGAGCTGGACTGATACAAAGAATAAACTAATGTTTTTTATCTCCTCCGTTCCTTCATCCCATCGCATGACTACAGCAAAAAAAAAACTACCATGATCACGGGGTTTAAAAGGAAATAAAAGATTTCCTACAAGACGTTTCGTTCCGAACCACCAAATGTAGCATCGTCAACAGAGGAAATCGCACGTACCTCGCATGTACCATGTCTTTCTCTCGGCAATGGCATCTCCTCCGATTGCACCCCCACCCGACCCTGATACGATTCCCAGGGGACAAATTCAGAGAATTAATCGCGTCCACTGAAAATTAAATCTGTTCTCTTTGAATCTCCGGGGTGAGGGTGGGTTGGGTTGAAATGATAATTTTCTCAAGTATGTGCTCACAGGTCATCGTACCTGCATAATTTAAGTGGTGTTATGGAACAATGCTCTCTGAAGAGGATTTCCAAACATGGCTTTTGAAAACTAAAAATCTTGATGGGAATGAGGGCTTAATTCGGAGAATTGTCTTCGAGTTTTCTCCAGCTAAAAATACCAAGACGTGGAAGGAAAGGAAAATACGGCATGGTCATTCGACGGAAACGAAGACAACCTATGCAAGATTTTTCTCCTTGATCTAAAGTCTGCCAATTCATCCTGTTACGCCGAGAAATATTTTTTTTTTCATGCTTCCACACTCACCGAAACTCAGTCGGGATCTGCAACTAGAGACTTCCCCATCACGACTCGAGAAAGACTCGATTCTACGATTGCTGGTGAAGACGCCAAATCGTCACTACGTGTTTCTAGTGAACAGACGGACTTCCCGTCATCATAATGCTGGAAGAGATCCTTTTCCTCATCGCTATAGCAATCTTCCTCCTCTGGAGTGTCAACTGGTTCTTCTTTCACGTTTCAGCCTTATATTATGCAATACGTAATCTATACAGGAAAAATATGCCACTGGCTGCAAGGAGTACAAATTGGCCTGGGGTGTCCATCGTGAAGCCCCTTGCCGGCGCAGATCCCAATCTGGAATCCAACCTGGAAAGTTTCTTCACTTTGAACTACCCTCTTTTCGAGATACTGATCTGCGTGCACGAGGACGGAGATCCTATAATCGAGTCCGTCAAGCGACTGCAAAAGAAATATCCGCATGTGGAATGTCGAATCTTCGTCGGAGGCGAGAACGTCGGACCCAATCCCAAGATCAACAACCTGTTGCCCGGATACCGAGCGGCGAAATACGATATCTTCTGGATCACCGACGGGGGGATTCGGATCACCCCAGACACGTTGATGGACATGGTGCACTGCCAGACGGACGAAGTGGGTCTCGTGCATCAGGTGCCTTTGGTCCGAGACGATCAAGGGTTCGCCACCGCCTTGGAGAAAGTCTTCTTCGGCACGGTCGTCGCACGCGTCTACCTCGCGTTTGCCGTGCATGGGATGAATTGTTTTATCGGAATGAGCGCCTTGGTGAGGAGGAGCGTTTTCATAGACATCGGAGGGATCGAACAGTTCTCCTGCTACGTGGGCGATGATTTCTACATGGCTGAGGCCATAATCTCCAAAGGATACAAACTCGCAATTTCCTCCCAACCGGTATGGCAAAATTCGGGCTCGAAACGGTTGTCGACATTTCTAGCTCGAATATCGCGGTGGGCTCAGTATAGGTATGCGAGTAAGCCTCTTCGGTTTGTTTTGGAGCCGTTCTTGGAGTGTCTCTTCCTAGGCCTCGAGGGAGCATGGGCCGCTCGAATGCTCTTTGGCTGGAACCCCCTTCTGTTTTTTTCACTTCACGTCCTTATTTGGTTCATATTAGACTTGATCCTCATTAAAGTGGTCAACGGAGGACATATGCCGGTGAATATGTTTCAGTTTCTCGTCTGCTGGATTTTTCGAGAATGCACAATGTGGTATCCGTACCTCGTGGCCGTGTTCGTCCCAACGATCAAGTGGCGAACAGGTAACTATCGACTCGGCTGGGGCGGGAAAGTGAAAGAATTCACGCCTGCAATGTCATCAGCCCCTCCTTCCATCGTCTGACTCTCCTTCCTCCATCCTTCCACTCATCGGACATCCAAGCCAAACATCCACCTATGTTGTGCAAAAATATCCTCGCCACATTCCATAAGTGCAGTTACAACTATATAAAGTATTGATTCGGACAGGAACCTTTCGATGGTTGGACGCCTACAAAGCCGTTTCGTGGAATTAGGTAAATATTTTAAGTGGTTTCAAGCTCACTGCCAGAATTATTTGATATTATGACGTATAATAACCGCTCGACAAATCTTGAACTGCTTCAGAATGGGCTCGATACGAGCCCATTCTGATGGTTCAATGCTCCGTTGAACCATCTGCACCATATTGCTTGATAAGTTAATAAATTAATCGAAAGAGGCCGAAAGTTGTGGCGTTGTCGCTCGAGGCCTACAAGGCGATGCCATTCCAGGCCATAGATAAGGCCATAAAAACGCTGGTATACTTTTCATCTAATTTTAAAAGACTCACCCAATAGATTGCAATTACTACAGAGTGTGTCCAGAGTCCTGCCTACCTTTTGAAAATTAATGGTACATATTTTAAAACACGCCTGCGTCTCTGAGTCACGTTCTCTATTATGAGTCTGATGGATTGCATCTCCAAAGTGATCGATTTCAATGAAAAAGTTTGAGAAAAATGACAGGAACGTAGAACTATCGACAATCGCATAGTTGTGAACGTGGTGGCCAATCTCGCGATGCTTCAATTGCTAGGTGTCCGTGTTCACGTTTTCTCCGTCCATTGTTTGTCCTACTAGTTTCTGTGACGTGACGCAAGGACTGTGGGATGAGGCTTCTGCGATTGAAAGGATGTCATTGCATGGATTTTTCACATCTTTACTCCCTATTGAGACCCCAGAGTATGAAGATGCCCCCCTCTCAACACAGAATCGTTCCAGCAAATTCATAGCTTCATCTCCCCGGTATTATAAAGAACATTGAATGTCGCTTTTTGAATATGTGATTTCATTTCGGTTTTCAACCCCCCCGGTAACCATTCCTGGTGAGCTTTCGGAGGAAAGAAACCAACCAAAGAAAGATATTGACTCGTAGATGACGAAAAGTGACTCTTTTCTGCACCATTTCGTCATAAAAGAAATTAATCTGGCTGGGTTTATTTTAGGGCTGCCACGATAGACCGATGCATCGATACCACTATCGATAGTTGGGGGTATCGATTGTTTTTTCGACTACTGCGATGTATCGGCAAATGATTTTAAAGGGAAAAAGTCCCATTGGATCGAGGCGAATACAGTACAATACAGTCCGTCCGGGCGGAGAATGGAGACTCGCATGAGCGAGCAACTTCTGTCACGATCTAATTCTGGAAATGCTGGGACTGACTATTTGAAAGAAGGGAAGGGAAAAAAACAACCAATGTACTGGATGTACCGGAGCCAGGAAGTGGGAGAGGGAGGGAGGGAAGACCGGGAATATTATCTTCCGTTTAAGCTTTCGGTTCAATCTCATGAGGTGCATGCTGCGAAAGTGTTCTGCGAAAGTTCTTATACTCCCTTGATTTTGAAAGGTAGGGTGGTTAGTCCCCCTGTCTGTATTCCTGTCTCTCAAATATGCAGGCTAAAGTTTTTGTTATTATTGAATACTAGCGAGTTTGTTTGCCCTGGGCAAACAAACTCGCTATTGTCGCGCCTTCGGCGCTCTATTACCTTGGATAGTGATTAATTCATTCATTTTTGCGAAATGGGAAACACGTACTTAAGGTACGTCTCCATTGAAATACGTGACATATGGGGACTTTCGTCCCCACATGTCATGTATTTATTATTACCACTATGATTCTGTGTGCCTAACTTGAAATCTTTTCATGTGTCCCTNTTGAAATACGTGACATATGGGGACTTTCGTCCCCACATGTCATGTATTTATTATTACCACTATGATTCTGTGTGCCTAACTTGAAATCTTTTCATGTGTCCCTTTTTGTAAGGGTGGAGAATACATTTTGAAATACTTCCCTCCAATAATCTACGCTAAGGAGACATATTTCAAAATTAGGATTTTTCCTCTACTAGGCCACCAAACAGGTACTTCAGAGGGAAGCTTAAATTTTCAGTCTCTGTTTCGTTGGATAAAAAAAAATCCGGAAAATGGGACTGAAAAAAGTGCCCTAATGTGTTTTAACGAATTTTTTTTCTTTTGAAATGTAGACTTTGGGAACTCCATGCCACACAGTTTCGGTCTTATTCGTTTCCCCTTTTTGCTTGCGGAAAAAAATTTATTTGGAAAAGCGACCCACCCAAAAGCTGTGCTCTGAGGAGGCGTACGAAAAAAGATTAATTTTTCCTTAAATCAACAACACGTCAGTTATGCGTGCACCAGCTACTTTTCTATGTCTGCCCGATGAACTACATGCTCACAATGTTTCAATATTATACATTTGCCCTTTTCGCTGATGAAAAAACATGCTTGGAAAATCCGACCCACCCAAAAGCTATGCTTGGAGGGAATACCCCATGAAAGTTGAATACTCCCTTAGATTAGTAATATCATGTCACTTATACATGTGCCGAGTTTCACCTTTCCATTTCTGGGAAATTCGCCGCAACAATTTTTTTTTCAAAACATCGCTCCTCGAAAATATTCCCCAGGGGATGTATCGAGACTTAACATTTTTATTTAACTCTTTGTCTCAGTAGTCACATTCATGCAAAGTTTCAGCTTTCCATGTTCATCAGTTTAATTGATGCAAAAAAATTAGTTGGAAACATTTCCCTTTGAAATTTGTGCCCCCAGGGGCGTTTACTTCTAAAGTCTGAAGTTTTCTGCAGCATCCCAATAGGTAGTTATGTACCAAGTTTCATCTTTCCACTCCGCTTAATACGCCAGGACAAAAAAAAATTACTTGAAAACGTCGGCTCACAAAAATACGCCCCCAGAGATCTAAAATTTCCCATTTTTCCTGAACTTATTGTCTCGGTAGGCACGTCCATGCCAAGTTTCAGCTTTCCATGTCTCTCAGTTTTACTCAAGCAAAAATAATGTTATGGTGGGGAATGAGTAACAGGACATGAAAGGCAAAAAAAAGCCAAAAGAACGACAAGGAATGGCCGGGAACTGAACCCGGACTTACTGATTGCCAGTCAGATATGATACTACTAATGCACCACCGAACCTAGCACATCTTGTTGGCTCTCTGAATGCCATCCTCATCTGTCACAAAATATATTGAAGGAAAACGTTTCCCGCCAAAGTTACCCCCAGGGCATGTACCTCCAAAGTGGGATTTTTTCTGAACTCTTCATCCCAAAAGGTTCATGTGTACCCAGTCAGTCACGTCTATATATATTCGATTTTCGACTTGCCGTGGGGCATTTTACCTCTTTACTTAAGGTGAACCCAAGTGAATTTTTCACATGGACCTTGCTTATTCTATGGCTGTACAGAAGTTTCGGCAACAGCCTTCATGACAGAATCGGCAGGTTTTCTATCTGTCGGGTGGTACTTTTCAAAGAAGACCGTGTAGAACGAAGAAAAAGGGAAAAAGAATTACGTGAACGGGCTTGGCAAATGATTCTCCACGGCAATTAAAGCGTGTTAGCTCCTGTCCAGTTCCCCAATGTAGCTGGATATCGTGCAGGAATTACGTCTGATTCATGACTGCTTCGGCCTTGGTATCAGTGTCTATAGCTTCCGTTTTGTAATACATGGGACATTTTTGTGCTTAGTTCATGAGATGAATTGAGAAGGCGGGTAAACACCCGCCGAAAACCTGGGGCATATGGACATATATTAACCGGACGACACTGAATTAACAGGATAGCGCACATCATTTCCTTCCGTGCTTTCTAGAGGAGTTCAAAATTCATACTTTCTCCAGATGGTTCGAGATGCTCCAGATAGGCCTAACCTTCAACGCCCGCTCTGAAAAGGTCCATGCTTCCACTCGGCCTAACGTTACACGTCCTCTCTAAAAACGTTCGTGAAAGTATGAATGAGCGATTGTCCTAGCATAATATGTCCTTAACGAGATGTCTCCTAACGGGATTTCTCGAAGACCATGTATTCACCATTATAGACCTAATTGTCACCGTAAGTTGAGAATCGAGTTTCTTTTCAATTATGAAAGGTAGGCCTTGCCCTCACCTGAAGGTCATGTGTCGGTCAGACCTTAACTAAACGCTTGAGTCCAATAGAGAAGGGGAGGAGGGAAGCTGAGGTTCAGGTTGAAGAAAGTGAACGTCCTTGAAAAATGGTTTTCAAATTACTTCATAGTTCTGACACTCCACATCGTGATAACATGCTTGCTACCAGTAAAAATTTCATTCCATCATGGAGAGCGTAGATTACTGAAAATAAACCAAGTAATGGATATGATATGTCTATTGGTGAGGGAAACTCAAACGTATTCTGCCATTTGTACTACAACCGCCAAGAAATGAAAGTAGAAGACGACAGTCACGGTGAATGTGTGCACAGAGCGTGAATTCGTTGCATTCCGCGACCAGACATCCAGAGGTCATTCGGATCAAAATCATCGACATCGGGGGGAAATGCTTCGCTCCACATCGATCCTATGTAACATGAAAAAGGTTTTGTCATCTCTGAAAGAACAACGCAGAGTGAAGATTTGCCTCAGGTTTTTCTCATTTTTGGTTGATTTTCACTGGCCTTTTCTGTCAAAAATTTGCTTGATTTCTATCCTAATGTTGCTCCACATTCCATCCCGTTATGGAGCTTTATGGAGCCTTTACGGGCTTTATGGACGAATGCATACCCAAGAAATCCATAAAATAGGACAGGCAACCGGTCTGGTTTACGGGAAAAATCAAAGCTCTCATCAGTGATAAAGTGCGGAAATGGAATGCGTACAAGATAGCACGGACTAGGAGGAATATAGGAGAATCACGCGGACGTTGAAGCGGGAAATTAGATCTGCGAGACGGGAGCGAGAGGAACGGCTGGCTAGAGATGCTAAGAAGAACCCTATGGCTTTTTATCGGTATGCTAGTGGTAGGTGTCAACAGTCGATCGGCCCGCTAA